AAAAAAAAAAAAAAAAGTTTCCTAAAAAATCTTTTTTTCATCAAAGTTTAGTGTTCGTTTGGCCTTCGTTTGCATCAAAATTGTCCCTGAAAGTGAAATTTTTTTTCCTTGAGAAATTCAAATTACCAAGAAAATAAATGTAGTCAAACAAGCATAAAACTGGAAAATGGAAAACCAATTTCATTTTCCACCTTATTTTCACCCTATCAAACACACCCTTACTATAAATTTTATGTGTTGATATTTAGACGTAGAACGATACAAGCCTTTTGACAGTCTCCATCATCTGATTCCTTTCCAAACTTTTTCCATATTTGCCCCTTGTTTGGTTTGGATTAAAATTCAATTAAAATTTACAGTCAAAGTCAATAATTAATTTTAACCACATATTTTATGGGACTCATAACTTTTAACCACACATTTCATTAACTTTTATCAAAATCTACTAAAAAATTGATTTTAATCTCTAACAAACAGGGGGATGATTGATGGAGTAGATCCCCATTGAAGATGGTGATAGGTGGCTTAGATACTAGCAAAAATGGCAGGACAACCCATTGCGACTCCGATATAAGTATCAGTATACAAAGAGACGAACACAGAAAATATGCCATTAGAGTTTGACTTGCTAATACCTCTCTACCATATAGAAACTAACCTTGCCAACATGGCCTCAGAGCCATTGGGAACGTGTGGACATCTGCCCTTATACATTCCATAAAATGAGGCGTAAAATAGGACATCGATCAGCCACCATAAACAATGTTAGTAAAGAATCGTACTACTTATACAACTTTCTTTACAACTTCATACTTAATAAGTATCATATCCATTTATTTTAAAAACTATTTTTTAAATCAACGACACGGATCTTGACAATTCCCTAATTGTCAATCTAGTTAGACAACTAGATAAATTTGTAAATAAAATGGCATTGGTTTCTTGGAACTTTGACCATAAGCAATACAGAAAACCAGAAAAATTGATTCCACGTGCACAGGTTACTTTATTATGAAACAATCATTCGATTTCTTGAAGGCATCATTTCAACAATAAAAATTAAAAAACAAACAAGATTATTATCGATAATATTTTCTGAAATTTCAGCCAAGGATACAAATAACACAAGGAAAGCCGATTACCTGATGGTGGGTGGTGGCGTGTTCCAGCCTGCAGGCTGTGTTGATGGTGGAGATGAGGTGTCGGAGTAGGTAACTGACTAAGTGAAGAAGTCGAGGATATAATGGTCTTTCTGTTTTGACCTTTTCTCTCTTAAAAATTAAGGTTAAAAGGTAAAAAAATCGTCCACTGGGTACTTTAACTGCTATCAAAATGAAAGGTTCAGGACATAAATACTCCTTTGTAAAGGTCGGGGGACCAAAGTGCAACACGTATCGAAGGTTCAGACCTCTGCTGCTATTTTCCCTAAAATCTAAGCAGAAGATGGCTGTCTCCTTGCTTACCAAAACTGAAAATCAGATTCTATAGTTTCAACTGCTCAAATGAAGAACTTCTTGACCTGTAATGGAGATAATTGAAGTTGTTAATCAGATAACCATATGAAGGGTATACTTCAGCAGGAGAAGATATTATATACTGTCTTTAGACAAACAGAACTACGATTTCTAACTTCCAACGATAAATGTCAAGAAATCGACGGCTGTTCATCATTACGATTTTACCAGATTCTTCATAAAATAAGGATAAAAACATTGGCAACTAATGTTCTTGCTGAAAAGGCATAAACAGTAATTTGGAATAGCCAGTTCAGAATTTTTTTGTGACTAAATCTTTAACCTTAATGAAAAATAGTTGTAACATCGATTCTCACACGCTGTATCCTTGATCACAAACTAAAAAGAAACGTGATGAAATGGGAGATGGATTATCTTACTTGCTCAAACGTCAAAAACATGATTGCATTCCATGTTCCTAATCGACCAAAGTTTGGGAAGAATCCCTTGTAGAAAGCTAAAGGTCCCTGCTAAAGGAGTAAGTTAGCTTCATTCTTAACAGCAAGGCCAGGCCACAACCAAAATTAAGACATTGAAATACATATGATAGTTACAGAATACAGCAAAATATTAAAATAATTCTAATGCTTCAGCTTCTCTGAGCCAATAATGTTAGTAACAGCATTGATCCAATTTTACAACAGTTCACCATGGTAGTTGAAGCATATCCTACTAATATTGAAGTTCGAGGATATAGAACTACAAAGTCTTGGGAAAAATGAGTGACCAAGCAGTGAATAAGAAACAACACGAATTTGAACAGTGAACAAAGCAAATGTTAGCTTCTTCAGGAGTATGGACATGTGTATTAGGAGAATAGGGCAGATGCTATCTTCTCCACAAGATACAAACTAGCATGAAAATGCCACAACTATATGACCAAGTATATGCACACTTTTTATGTTGAAAACATATAATTCCATTTTTATAAGCATAATTAACAAGGCATAGAAAGTCATTATGCTCTTCATCAATCACAATTATAGAAATGAAGTTAAATGTATAGAATTATAATGCATAGAAGCAAGTGAAAACATAAGAACTATAGAGCCAGTGACAATTTTCAGCTTCAAGTTTGTAATGGAAGAGCATAGTCACAGAAAATATGATGTTATGTGAACACTCGTGTTTGCGTGTCAGATCGAAACTCAAAAATGCAAACAATGTACCTCACTTTTCAATGTTTTGAAGAAACAATCTATGGTGCTTCTGTAGACTGAATCTCCCATCATTCTAGATTTAACCTGGAAGAGAACAAGCACAAGAGTTAAAAATGTGGAAATTGAGTAAAATATTTACCCTTGCGATTATGCTCCATTAATTAGAAACATTTTTCACCAAAACTTAAAACTCAACTACATCCTTTACTGGACTGAAATGGCAAGATATCCTCATGCTACAACTAGGAAATTCCTAACCGTACGGCACAAAAGGATATTTTACAATTGAACATCGCCATGCTGAATCCTATTGTATACATCTCCTATGCTAGTCTCAAAACTAGATTATGCTAACAAATGATACAGACAACAAATACAAGGTAACAACTAAGAGTCTGAGACACTGTTTAATCTGAGTACTCAGCTGCAGTTGGTAAATTTAGTGCTTGTTGTTAGTACTTATAAGTTGTGGGTCCTATGGATGGATAATAAGCGGATAGTAAGTTGTGGGTCCTATGAAATGTGCGAATAAAAAGTATATTTGACCAGCTTAAATTATAATTTAAGCAACGCCATGTGGCTCCTAACTATATTTATAAAATTTAATGGAACCAGGAAAGTTGCTCTTAGTAAGTAATGTTTAAATTGCACAATAAATCTACGTCATTTGCTTTATTGCAATTCGAAAATAATTTGTCTGTTATATTAGCTATTAACAAAGAAACTATTTCATAAGTTCCATTGCATAGTTCCATTCCAGCTAGTCCTGAATGCATATATATATGCTATTTGGAAGTGACTGGATCATATTCTAGCTTTACTCTTAGGTGTGTAAACATATACTTCAAACCCAGTGCAATGGCATGATGAACCAACCCTTATGCAAGACAATGCAGTAGAACTCTCAATTGCTTTTAACATCTACAGTAATAAACTGTAGTTTATCAATAGAACAGACAGAAACAAAAATTAGCAGGGAATGCAGCACGTAGGACCATAAAGTTACGATGTAGAACCTTCTTGTTAGCAAATTTAACAAACTGGCTCAAGGATAGAGAATTTTACCACGTCAACAGGAGATCCAATGCATACTGCAAAGAACCCTGCACCTAAACCAGCTAATATCTGCGTTAGAACATTGTCTGTGAATCCTGGAATTTTTAAAATTGTCTGCACAGAACATAAATATCAGAACAGAGGTGAAATCACATGAAAGCAACACATTAAAGATAAGAAACAGAATTTCATGCAAATAAGAAACAAGATCAGAGAGACCTCTTTAACATGGTCATAGCTAGCTAGTTCAGCAGCATTTATAATTGCATTTCTTGCAATGTTGGGCCCAAGTCCTGTCCACAATGCCGCCACTCCTTCCTGTTCCACCAATTATATTTAGTTAACAGGCAAATAAGACGAAAGCAATTAATTACTTGTTCGAAATTCACCTGCTTCACTATGGTATAATATGCATTCAGAGCACCAGTATAATGCCTAGGTACACCTGCTGGAGATTTTCCTTCTGCTTGGAGTCGAACTTTCACGAGGTCTGTTGGATTAGCCACAGCTATAGCTATAGCACCTGTTCAGTAAGAAAAGCATGTTAAATGTTTGTTGTAACCAAATTCAAACACAAATTGCATCAAATATTTTAAAAAGGAACACTAATAGTAGAAATTTTATTTACCAGTAACCAGAGCAGCTAATATTTTGCTGAATAAAGGCACATCTCCGACATAATAACTGCCAACGATAAAAGCTTTGACCTATCCAACACATAGGAAAATGATATTTTAGTTATAAGCATGAGGGGGTATGATATTGTAATAAAAACTGTTGTGGTGTAGGTCCTTGTGGAAATGACTGCATTTGTAATACTCACAGGCTCATATAATCCAATTCTTAAGCCTCCGTATATGCACTGGCGATGTAAGCCAGGTATAATGCCTTTCCAAAGTGCAAATAAACCTTCTTCTTTAGCTATAGTAGCAATCGTATCCAACATGCCCCTGTATTTAGATACACCCGCTGCTTCCCCTAAAGTTGCTCTCTTTTGTAGCTGAAGCCTAACTTTAGCAGTATCTAAAGGAATAGTACAAAACTGCACATAACCAACAGGTTTAAGATTTATTTTTAGACATTCAAAGTTATAGTTTCATAAAACGAAATGAGAAGTAACAATTGGCTTCAGTAGAATTGGTCACTGTACAATTTATGCCATCTTTAAACAAGGTCCTTATACAGATTAATGAGCAGCCGATTGTTGCATCAGGCACGTATGTACTTGACTTGAAGTGTCACAAATCTTGTAACACCTTGACTTTTTAGCTATAAATTTAATTCCACAGGCATAAGACCGCCCACGAGGAAAGAGAAAAACCAGCTACGTCGAGAGGTACAGGTCGGTTGTGTTGGAATTGGTTAAGTATTAAATCATGAATAAGTAACTTTCATGTCAACTTCGACCAAATATTCAGACTTGATCCGATAGTTAAATTATGAAAATAAATAGACTAACTTATTTTACTCGTCGAGTAGATAATCGTGGTATATTTGAAATCTTCAAACCAATTTCGGGTGAATGAGAAATTGCATTCTAAAGCTGGAAGAAGAGATAGGAAATTGACTGGAAATTTGTCTAACTCCGTCGACGGCGAGCGACAAAGTCTCTGTTTCTGACATTTGAGCGACGCAATGGCGACAGGGTGACAACAAAAGCTGCGGCCTTTGACAAAGGTTGTTAAGTTTGGGGCGCGGTACTTCACTCACAACCTTTCCTTCTCTATAAATTAACCCCTTGGGATGTCCATTTGTTCATCCCAATGATATGCAATCATAGTATAGCATTAAATTCATCTTTTCATAGCCTAAATTCTGTATAAAAAGCTATTTTTCCATTTTTCATAAAGAAGGAGTACAAAAACCAATTTTCTGTTCGTTGTTGTGTTTTGAAGTGCTACTAACACAAGAAATTTGTCGTTGTATCTTAGGAGTCGATTGCCATCATCCGTGGGCACCGTTGCGGGACTAATTCGACTTGAGATTGTCGAATAAGATGATGAATTTGATTTCATTATTAACCGCTTCTTTCTAAAAAGGAGCTTCGGGAATGGAAATTGCTTCATAAATGTCCTTGGATCATTTTCTAGTAGATATGTTAAAAAATCTGGACCAAAAATTTTATGAATCATTTGCCTTTTAATGCGCCTTGGTTCTTCATCTACTTGATGATTATTATATTCTTGATAGTTTTCAATGGCAGTATCGTAAGTTTGTTTGAGCGATAATTTTATTCTTGGATTGTATTCGATCAAATTGATTTCACTTTCGTTTAACTTCTTCTACCCCTTCTCGAATTTTGACTTTGATTTATTTTCTATTTTGTGTAAACAGAAATGAATACGATTAACGAAACCGATACGTCTTCAAATGATACTTCAAATATGGGAACTTTGGAAGGAATGTTACCTAACTTGGTTCCTACTGTTGTGATTCATCCAGCTGCGGTTACCCCACCGTTCATACTAATTTCATTCCACATGAAGAGAAACCAGAGAAGTTTAGTGGGGTTGATTTCAAAAGATGGCAGCAAAAAATATTCTATCTCACGACCCTAAATCTGATAAAATTCTTAAAAGAAGATGCTCCTATCGTACAAGAAGGGAAAAATAATAGGGCAACATTGATTGTGTTAGATACTTGAAAAAATTCCGATTTCTTATACAAAAACTACATTTTGAATGAGTTAGACAACACATTATATGATGTATATAGTTCCATGAGATCTGCAAATGAACTATGGAAATCCTTGGAAAAGAAATACAAGACTGAAGATGCCGGACTAAGAAGTTTATTGTGGGGAAATTTTTAAACTACAAAATAGTAGATTCAAGAACGGTCATCAAGTTCAAGAATTGCAAGTTATACTCCATGATATTCATGTCGAGAATGTCTCCAATTGAATTCTTTCAAGTGGCTGGAATTAACGAGAAATTTTCACCCATGTGGAAGGACTTAAAAAATTATCTCAAGCATAAGCGCGAGGAAATGAATATTGAAGAACTCATTGTCCAGTTGAGAATTGAAGAAGATAACCGAAATTCTAACAAGCGTGTTGGAAGTCATATACCACAAGTTAAGGCTAATGTGGTAGAATCCTATAACAAAAGTACAAAAGAAAGCATTCCGTCGAACCATCCAATAAGAATACAAAGAATTTCAAAGGCAATTGCTATAATTGTGGAAAGGCTGGACATCACTCTGTTGATTGTCGTAAACCTAAAAAACAAGTTCAGGTGAATATCACCAAATCTGATGCAATATCTAATGGTATATCAGATATAAACTTGTCGATCGTTATTTCAGAATGCAACAATGTTGGAAATCCCATGAAATGGTGGGTGGATACGGGTGCTACCCGTCATATTTGGGCCGACAAAGGAATGTTCTCATCCTACGCTCCGATCGATGGTGAGAAATTGTTCATGGGAAATTCTTCAAGCTCTTGTTCATGGGAAATTCCTCAAGCTCAAAGGTTGAAGGACAAGGCAAAATTATTTTGAAGATGCCATTGGGGAAGGAATTTAGCCTTCATAATGTTCTTCATGTGCCGAATATTCGTAAGAATTTAGTTTCGGGTTCTTTATTAAGTAAGAATGAGTTTAAATTAGTCTTTATATCGGATAAGTTTATACTTACCAAGAATAATATGTATGTAGGCAAAGATTATATAAAAGATGGACTGTTCAAGATGAATGTCCTTACCATTGTACTGAATAACTCAAGAAATAATATATCTTCTTCTGCTTATATTCTTGAGTCGTCTAATTTATGGTATTATAGATTAGGACATGTAAACTTTAATTCTATGCGCAAACTGAATTTAAGTTTATTAACGAGTATGCATTTTAATACAAATGGAAAATTCGAAATTTGTGTAGAGGCTAAGTTAGTCAAAGCGCAATGTAGCACAACACCTTTGGAACTTATTCACACTGATATATGTGACTTAAAGAACGTCCGAGCACAAGGTGGTAAAAAGCATGTCATCATGTTTATGGATGATTGTACAAGATACTGTTATGTATACTCGTTGAAAAGTAAAGATGAAGTATTGAAAGTGTTTAAACAATAAAAATAAAGTTGAAAATCAACTTGGAAAAATGATATGGGCGATTCATAGTGATCAAGGTGGAGAATATGTTGCACCATTTGAAAATTTTTGTTCAGAATCTAGAATTATTCATCAAACAGTAGCACCACACTCACCGCAATCTAATGATGTTGCTGAATGCAAAAATCGAACACTTAAGGAAATGATGAATGCAATGTTGATTAATTCAGGATTACCTCAAAACTTGTAGAGTGAAAGCTATACTTTCGGTAAATCATATCTTTAATAAAATAACACACAAGAGTAAGAATGAATCACCTTATGAGTTATGGAAATGTCGAAAACCTTCCTACAAATATCTTAAAGTGTGGGCTGTTTGGCAAAAGTACAAATACCTAAACCTAAACAAGTAAGATTGGACTTAAGACAGTTGATTGTGTCTTTATCGGATATGCAAAAAATAATAGTGCATATCGATTTTTGATTCATAAATCTGAAATATTTGATGTACATATAGGTACTATCATTGAATCAAGGAATACTGTATTCTTTTAAGATAACTTTTCTTATAAAGAGAAAGAAGTAAGCTCACACAAACGAACTTACGATACTACTATTGGAAATTATTAAGAAGATAGTAATCATCAAGTAGATGAAGAATCAAGGTGCGGTAAATGGCAAATGATTCATAAGACCTTTGGGCCAGATTTTCTAACATATCTACTAGAAAATGATCCATGTCCATTCTTGAAGCAATGTCCATTCCCGAAGCTACTTTTTGGAAAGAAGCGGTTAATGATGAAATCAAATCTATCATCTCATTCAACAGGTTGTTTTCCTTAAAAGGTGCAACTAAAGAACCATGAAAATCGGCTTAGTCTGAACACTATGCTACACAGATCAACTACTAAGAGACTGAAGCTATTACTAATTAACTGAGCTCTCCAACTTCAGATAACAAATCTATGACAATTAATTTCTGGTACATTATTGTCATTTGAACTCCTTCGAGTCCACAGACTCCATAAGGAATAACCAACATCGTAATATACAATATTTAGCAGCAAAGTTTCAATCAAAGCAATCTCAACAATTAGTTTGACCAAAATCAAGTCATAAGTAAACCGTTTTGCCAGCGTTGCACAAGGCTGATATGCAGTTATCAACAAGTCCGGAAAATGAGATGATTATCAATTAAAAAAGGAATTACCTCAGCGAAACAAGAAGAAAAGGCACTAATGGCGAATATTCCGGCGAACGAGATCTCCGACTGATCCGCCATTGATGAAGATGAAGAGTGAAGAAACAACTAAAGAATGGTAATGTATTGTTGTTAATAATAATGATAAGTAATTATGAAGTAAATGCACCGAACGATTTGCCCCCTTCTTCACCGTTTCCATTATTGATCTACCTTGAGCTTGTTTAGTTATACTCACCTCAACTAAATTTTACTGCGCGTGTAATTCACCTTCTATTCACTCAATATTGGCTGTTAGGTGTGTCGCGTGGGATTACCAATTTGCCTGACCGGCTGTCTCATAGGCATATTCTTGGTGTACCGTCACAACTGACAATTTTGTTTGATAGCATGTCGCGTGTAAAATTGTCATCGGACGATTTTTAAAAAAATAATTTCGCAACCAATAATTTTTTTACAATTCATAGATTTTCAATCAAATTGTCATTCATGATTGGGGATGGCAATGGGGCCGGCGTTCCGCACCCTGCCAAATAATTCCTCACCCCGTTCCCACCCCATTACTCGTTTAAGGCGGGGCGGAGTCCTTGTCCCGTTTACTATCTCGTTAAATTTTTTTTATATAATTTATTTTTATTGTCTCCATTCATTAAATTTAGACAAATAATTTTAGTTGCTATTTTCTAATAGAACTAATGAAATTTCGTGAAATTTTTCATTTAAAATATTGAATTCTAAAAAAAAATAAACGGAGCGGGAAAACCGTTACCCGTCCCCGCCCTGATTACTTGATTAAGCGGGTTATCCCCGCCCCGTTCAGGGCGGGCTCCGCGGGTATCAGGTTTGTTGTGTTTCGTTGCCATATCTATTCATGATTGTATAAATAGATTAATCCATGCATATTTCGTACGATAAGTAACACAGTAGTGTGCATTCGTCATTAATTAATATATCACTTTTAAAGTAGAAAAATAAATCATATTTGAGATATACAATTACTTGTATGACATCTAGGCGGATGTTCTAGTACCATGTTATAGATAGCATTATTCATAAATTTATGAATCATACTTGATGTACAATATTCATTGACAACATTGTTGATAGTATATCACGTAACATATTGTCATTTGATCGTTTGAAAAATTGTTGACTTTTTCAACCAATAATTTTTTGACACATCAATACTTTCAACTAATATTCTCAATCAACATTTCACAAATAGCATAATTGTAAATTTATTCACCAAAATATTGGCTATTAGGCGTGTCACGTGAGATTACCGAATTGCCTGGCTCAAATTCAATGCCAATTTCATTTTTACTAAAAATAATTTAAAATATGATTAGACAGACACTTTTACCGCATCAGCCCCTGTTTGATTTCCATCATCGAGAGAAATTGAGTTCTGTAATAGTAAATTTTTGAAGAAGTTATGGTTAAAAAAAAAATTGAATTTACATGTAAAATATTTTATTATAAAAATATATTATTGAAATTGTATTTGAAAAAGAATGAGTTTTGAATTAACGAGTATCAAACAAGGGTAAGTAATTCGAAAGTAATTATGTATATTTATTTAAAGTGTCTTCACTTTACATGTTCAAGTGTTCAACCTATCCGGCAGGCTAAATTCATTTGTTCACGTGTATTCACTTCAATTGTGTCAGTCAAGCCCTATTTAATGGTCTTTTTATTGAGGGATGCTTCGTGTACAAAAAAAATATGGGAAAATTACCTTAAATCAGGTCTTTAGTTTCACAATTTAAAAAATCAAGTTGTCACTTTATTTTTCCACTTTTCAGGTTTTTATCTTTTTATTCTATCCAAACTCTAATAGGCAGGCCTATCAACATGCCTGTTTATGCAATATTGGGAAAATTACCATAAACCAGGTCTTTAGTTTCACGTTTTAAAAAATCAGATTTTCACTTTATTTTTCAACTTTTCAGGTTTTTATCATTTTAATCTATCCAAACTCTAAATCTATTCATTTATCTCCACTCTCTCACTTCTCTCCACAACACCGCCTCCTCCACTTCTCTCCAGCCTCCCACCACCACCACCACCGCCTCCTCCCCTTCTCCCTCATCCTCTTACCACCACCGACAAATGGCCTCTGGAAATGAGACGTTGAATGTTGTCAAAGATTGATTTCAGCGCGTTATCGAGAGCTGTGGAGTCAGAGTCATGAAGGGTGACATCAAGCCCGTTCGCGGCGGAGAGTTGTGCGATGCCGGAGCCCATTTGCCTGCCCCCCACCACCCCCATGCTCTTGATCTCCACCATGGGCAGGTAAGCCAACTCGACTTGTTAGGGCAGTGGATGGAGTCGAAGCTGATTTTTCTCCGTCTTCTGCTGTTATCGGTCACTGGAAATATATATATTTTTTTCTTTTTGGTGTGTGAGGCAGGTTGTGTAGTGGTGGGCGGAAGCTGTTTGTGGGTCAAATTTGTGGTTTATTGAAGGTGCATGCTAATTAGGGTATGATGCTGTCGAAGGTCGATGTTTGTATTCGGTGTTTTGTATATGGCGGTTTGCTTTGTCTATGGGTTTTGACGTGTGTAATGGGTGTAATGTTGAAGGTGATGAGACGGCGATTTTGTTGTTGGTTGTGCTGTGGGGTGGTCGTGGCTGCGGTCGTAGGTGGGATAAGATGAGTTGGAGGTGGGTGTCTGTGACCTATAAATTGTGACTGTGACTCACTGAAATAGAGTTGTGACTAATAAAAGTTTTATGATTTTTTTTCAATATGTGACCTGTAAAAAATGTGACCTAGAAATTGTGACTGTGACTCATAATAGAGTTGTAACCAATAAAAGTTCTATGATTTTTTTTCAATATGTGACTTGTAAAAAATGTGACCTAGAAATTGTGTCTGTGATTCACTGCAATAGAGTTGTGATCTATAATTTTTTTGATCTGTGATTTCGAAATAATCCGTGATCAATTAATTTGATAAGATGTGACCTAAAATTAATATTTAACTAATTAATAAGATATCTGTGATCAAATTGCATATAAGTGTGACCTTATCAATTGTAAAAAAAGGAGCAGTTGTCGGAAATGAGAGGAGGAGAAAAATCATCGGAATAGTCGCCGGAGTTGAGTTGCCACCAGAACTGTTGCCGGAGCAATAGGGGTAGAGGTGGTGGAGCTGGGATGGGGTGGGG